CTGATCGGTAAACTGCCCCCTCATCGTGTTCATTTTCTGGAGTGGACTCTTCAGGGGTGGATGTGGATAGAAGGAAGCATGGAGGTGCCCAAGCAGCTGGTCTGGTGAGACTGAGCTTCGTCTGTCCTCTACCCGTTGACCTTTCAGGTACGATTGGATCTACGGCTGTGAAAAGCCATCCTGTATAGCTCGCGGGGTCATGGAGGCACACGAACCATCACACCACGTCAAGGCGCAGTCTCGTCGTGAATGAAGATGAACAAAAATCTAACTTCGAAACTCTCCAGTAAAGTAAAAGCAACGCAGAAACGGCTGGAGCAGCTACATTAAATTAGAAAAGAACACTGAAGAAGGAAAGCAACTGTCTCAGACACGGCTCATTTCTACGGACTACCAAAAGTACACATAGATAATGTGCCGCTACGACTGATATTGTTGCTTCCCGGTACACCAACCTATAAACTGACTAAAGAATTTTAGAGGAGACTTAAACCTCTCATCTTCGGCTACGAAAGGGCTCCTAGAAAAACTGAAGAATGTAAATATTGATGCAGATGAGATAATTATATCGATCGACGCCACCGCTGTATTCACTTTCATTAATCTTGGTTTGGCCGGGGAAACACTAAAGGAGAAGAACGACAGAAACATCAAACACTGGATCAAAAATATATCTGCGAGCTGATGGACTATGCCTACAGAAATACTTCGAATTCGACGGTGAAATCTACGAACAGATGAAAGGAACACCCATGGGTTCACCAAATTCCGGATTCATTGCTGAAACCATAAGGCAAAAACTCGAAAGGACGATTCTAACACAACGTTTTTCCATACTCTGGTTTGGATATGTAGATGACAGGTTTGTGAACCTAAAGCGATTAAAAGTGGATATGAACCTTCAACAGCATCAGTACTATCTTCCCGGATATCAAGTTCACCATGGAAACGGAATAAAATGACAAATTGGAATTTACTTGATGTCCTAGTAAGAAGATAATTGTCCGAACCATTAGAAACATCAGTATGCAGAAAGAAGACCCACGAGGATCAAATCCTGGGATACACCAGCAACCACTCAGCCCCTGACAAGAAGAGTTGTATTCGGGCATTTTTTGCAAGGGCCAGAGCACATTGCAGCAAGAGGAGAAATACCTCTATCAACTATCCCTCCGCAACGGCTACATCCGCAACTTCGTCAAGCGGACAGTAACTCGAACACAACACACAAGAACAAATGAAAACCGAATAAACCCACCGTATGTGAAGAACATTTCTGAAATGAACACGAGAGTACTGAAGCCACGCGACATTCAAGTTTCCTCCAAACCAACGACGATCCTACGGAGAATATTATCGAAAACTAAGAAGCAACAAGAAGAGAACAATCGAACAAATGTGATTTACCGCATCACCGGCAAGAACTGCAGCAAGCACCACATCGGCCAAACAGCAATAAAACTAGCAACTACCAATCAACGAGGACCAACTGCGATTTCGAAAACACCAAAGTCGTCGATCAGGCTCGCGCCAAACACGCAAGAGAATTTCTGGAAGTTTGGCATTCATCGGAAAACTCAGTCAACCGACACTGACATCGATCGAGTCCGCACCCCCAAGTAACGAAAGGACCAATCAGCACAAAGAAGGCCAACCTTGTCACAAATCACAACAGAACAACAATAACAGACTGATCGATCAAGGACCAGCCGTTAGACCGCTTGCGTCCACCTCATCCGCTGTCGGCACAAGGCGAACAAATATCAGCCAATCAGGCAACACCACGTTTTACAGAACCCAACGACCTATATAAGGAGTGGCAAATCGTAAGTGCTCACCAGGCTACTGTCACCTCGATTGGTGAAGAAGCATTTGCAATACGATTGCCAAGCTCGGCGAACAACTAAACATCATATATATATATATTATCACTTACATTGGAATCCATCATATTGACTACTCGATCGATCGGACAGGACGGAAGACCTTTGAGAGCTCTGATATGAGCTTTGACGCGTTCTGCACTTACTTCAGGATCCGAAGTAACTTTAAACCAATCTCGTCTGACTGTCTCTGTAGCATCATTCTAATCGCAAAAAATGGTAGAGATCAAATAATTAAGCTATCTTGTTTCAACTTGCAACCATTTATAAATTTATGAATATTCATGTGTGTACAATCATTCTTGTCTATTTTTGCGTAGTCAAAAATTCATAACAAAAAACGTTCCTCAGTCATATCCAAGTTATTAAAAAATACATATAAATTCCTCTTCGACGGAATAAATTAAATAGTAAGTACTACGGCCGAACAATAGTAATTTCCAGAACAATATTCCAAGAACTACCTGGTATAAAAATAAACAAAAAATATGAAGAAAGCACGACTTGTCCTGCTTGTCAGCGTCATCAGAAGTGACTATCAAGAGATAAAGCAGGGTTAAAATGGTCAAATATGCTGCAAGGGATAGAGTAGCCCGAGGTCAGGGCTAAGGTACAAAACTCTTCATGAGTCGACAAAGGAATACAATATTCGACGAGACAACTCAACTCCTTCGAAATGATGACTGGGAAAACTCAAGTTTACGTGTCGAAAAATGAACCCATACAAAAATTGTTTAGTCAAGGTATTTTGAAGATTCAAATGATTTAATCAGTTGCTATTTAACCAGATTAAGTAACCGAAGTGATGATTAGCCTAAAGTGAACCTATCTCAAGAAAACTGAATTTGAAGCATAGTGTTGAATCATTAGTATACAACAATCTCTTCATCTAATTTCCTTTGTGAGATAGTGATCACAAGGTAAATGAGATTACCGTTCTCAATAGAAAGCCACCTGAGTTCGATTAACTTACTCTATAATTTAATCCGGCGGCATGTTCATACATATTCCATTAACGATACATTGCTGAAACCGATGGGTTCATTTGCTTTGTGCAACTAAAACGTTAGTTTTCATAACCAGGAAAATAAAACAACCGTGCCACTTAAAGATTAGATTAAACATTAGCAACTACCCAGTAGCGGTTAAGTTAAATGACAAAATTTGATATGGAGGTAAACCGGTTCAAACTGGACCTTAACCCTTAACTAAACACAAATCACGCAACTCACTTGTCCACATGACTCATTTCAACTACATGATAAACACAGGGATTCTGGAACGCAGTGAGAACTCCGGATTTTGATGGAAAATAGTCAAGACGGTCAAGGAAATATCATAAACAATATATATAGATAGACAGATATAATCCTGTAATTATCAGCTGACAGACTCAATTATTCATTCAATGATTATTAAATAACGTTTACTATTAGTAGTTTACATCATAGCTGAGCTGCTTTACTATAAACTGAAGCAATTCTAAAATCAAGGAGTGCTGGAGAACCCAGAGAAGAGAATTTCCAGCACTTGGTGGATTTATCCAGTGAAAAACAGGAGACACCACAGTACACTGGTCGGCAATCTCCAGTTCGGCAGTTCCTCCCAAAGTGGATGGTCTCGAGCGGTGATGTGATTGCGCTATAAAGTCACTCTTTATAATTAGACTACTTGTAAAATAGTGTGATTGAAATAGCGGAGATTTTCCGGAGGTATGACATCCAGGATTAGAATGCAATCCATTTTGCTTAGTCGGATTGAGGAATAGGAGTAGCATTCACGTTTCCTTGTGCTCGCTCACGGTTTGAAACCTCGTCTTTCTACAACGTTTTATTTCAAAACGGTTGCTACTTTCTCCCTATAATAGCTCTGTCAAAAGCGTGCTTAATTAATGCACATGACATCTGTTTCTCTATGTCAAAGACTTACTAAAGCTTTGCAACTTATAGTAGTTGAATCTTCCAACCAAGCAGCGAACGTCTGACACGCTGCCAAAAAGGAAACGGATACCAATCCTCTGACCGATTCCGACTGACTGTAGAACAGAGAGAGAAGAAACCAGATGAACTATGGTAGCTATATTCAGATGTTTTAAGAGCCACAATCACTGTTCAATCGTCCGCTATGCACAGTACCGCAATTTTAATCAGCAATGGGATTGCAATAAGCAAGCACGGGACAAAATAAGACGGACGATCACCACGATTTAATATAGTGTTAGCATAGCGATATTAGGTTTCTGAGCCGTTGCAACGAACCAGAGTAAACCGTTAACAGTCAGCAGCCGGAGGTACCCTCTGGTGTGAGTCAAAAAACTGATGAGGGTAAGTACCTCTAGGCCTAGATCTAGGATTCAATTACCTTTTACGATTATTAATTACTGCTTTCAACGTGATTTGGCAGTATGGGGTGAACTGTGTGTTTTAGATTGATATAAACTCTACACCAATCTGTGAACTCTTGGATAGGAACCTTGTTTTTCTACCGCAACCTTGCTGAGGGGCGCGCATCAATCTCAACACTTATAGACGATCATAGGCTGCATATGAAGATGGCACTTTGACGTGGTGTGATGACTTGTGCACCCCCATAACCTAACGAGCTACACAGGATGACTTTCATCAAGCTCAGATCTCATCTTACATGGAAAGTCAGAGGGCAGAGTTCAGACAAAATTCAGTTTCCTGGTCCTCAAAATCGGGGATTCAACTGGAGTTAGCGTCTTAGTCCGTAAAATGGTGGAGTAATCGATCCAAGCAAATGAAACTCCATTTCGCAAATCACCAAACATTCCGATCCAGTAGCAACGTCCTACACAGCTCTCAACGGACAGCAACGTGACGCTCCAAATAAACTGGTACACTAAATCAAATCGACAGTAGTGAGCTACCGTTGGCTCAGTACAAAACTGCAAGTTATATTGAACCACCTGCTTGAATATTATCACACGTTCGTTTTGACGGACTTCAATCTCCGATTCATTAGTCGCAAGACGTACCAGCGAACTCAGTTAGCACATAATCAATTTTCTGATCCGGAAGTACGTGCACGTTATGAATCAGAACTAATACGGGGGATAAACGCGCTGCAACGTGATAGTGTAGAGTAACAAGGGGATCAGATTAGACGAGCAATGCACTGCGCAGCGAGGGTTACTTGTAGATCTGAGCTTCAAACGCATCTGAGACATTGTATATTTGATGAGTCAAAAGCCCTGACGGAAAAAACGACCAATCTCGACCGACCATGATAAAAAAAAGGTAGGTGGCTGCTGCAATATTAGGTCAAGAACGGCATCAACAAGGACCGTGAAAAGTGGTGTACTAAGATAGCCAATGAGGTGAAACAAGCCGCTGCATCATGGAATAATCAAAGACTGTTCCGACTGACACGTAACACGGGAGGTCGGCAAACCCCTGTTAGTGATAAAAGCGGACAAGCAACTCACAATAAAAAACAACGGCTTGACCGGTGCATGGAGTATTTCAATAAACAGTTCAATTGACCTGGCGCTAACGAAAGCATCTCGTCTGTTGTAGCTGAGACTCCGTGGGTGATGGCATGTAAACCTCCTACCGATCTTGCGTTCAAGTACTGACGGTCTTCCTCCCTCTCTTTTCAAGAATGAAGGCGATAAACCTCGCAGATTCCATTATTGATTCAATGGGTAATATCTTGTGGCAAGGGCTCATCCCATCATCTTGGAGCGAATCACTGATCGTTTCAATTTTCAAGAAGGGATCTCGGAACGACTTCGCAAACCACCGTAGAATTAGTTGGATTCCTATCGTCGCGGTTGTATAGACCACGTCTGTATCCAGTCCTCCAGCGACGCCATACACACCGTCGACCAAAGATCTGTGTTCCCCGACCTGAAAGGAACCTTCGACTCAGTTGACCGTTATGGATTCGCTTCTTCGAAAAGGGACGCTGAATATTTCCGGTAGTGCTAAAGTCTACGGTGGGTTAGGCAAATTGTGCGAAACCAGCAGCGGTGTTCGTCAAAGGTGCGCTATTTCGACATTTTTATCCAGTTTTGTCGTGAACAAAATACTAGTAAACCCACTGAGTGGTCTCCAAAATATATGTACTAGATGGACAGCCGGAGAGAAGCTGTGCGCTTTAGAGTATGCTGACGACATCGTTTCTCTGTTCGAATGTATGGAACAGGTGCAAAGTGCACTCGACAGACTTACAAGTTCTGTTGCTATGTTCGTTATGCACCTTCCAAGTACAAAGTGATGCGGCAAAACTGGATGTCGCCAAATCCTATTCTGAAACAAGGCGAAGTTGACTACTACTCGTACTAGGGTAGTTGCGTGACTAACAATGGTAGTGCAGCAAAGAAGATAACGGCACGCATTTACAAGGTTCGAGTAGCGCACGCAGGACTAGAGAACCCGAGGCGACGGCGGGACATTTCACTGAAGTTGAAAAGTCACACATACTGCACTGCTGCGCGATCGCCTATCGCATCGCGCCTTATTTGCAATAGCCGTTCGAGTTTTTCTTTCCCCTTCCCCAAAACAGGTCCAATCCATATACTTTCTACACATTCTAACTAACCTCGTATATATCATGAGTTTGGCAAAGATCAGCGAAGTTCGCTTTAATGTATGCAACTGCGCGATGAATTGATCTTTCAAGTGCGACCTGAGCTGAAATCCTTCGCATTTACGACGATAAGCGCCAACATTCATGAGAAAGTGGTCAGATGATTACTGGGCCAGTTAAATATAATAAATTTGGGTGTTGAATAAAAAAGAATGCTCAGTGGAAATCAGAGTGGGAGCTTGAAGTGTTTTCGATTTCCCATGGATTCCAAGGCGTAATGAACGCATCGCGTTCTGTTGGAACGAGCTTACACAGGAGTTTGATAGCGGAAATCGATCGAGATAGAATCGTAAAACCGCTTGTAATAGGAGTCAAAAGTGATAAGAGCAGGTGAGTTATGCGAAAAAACCTGATGCTGTTAGCAATATGATCGGTAAACTGCGAACAAGTTGCTGATTGATGGGTGAATTGGACAACTTGATTGTGACTGCCCTCATCAATTTCGATTGTTCATGCAACATCTGATTAAAACCAGCGTATTCGTAAGCCATTGGAGTTGAAACCAAATCACCGATGTGTTGTGCCTCGTCCACCTCTTAACACGTTTGTATCAAGATAGCCGCTAGTTCATGACTGATCATAACATCTTCCGAACCATATATATAGTTCGAGAACTATAATTTCCTAACACCAAACAAAAAAATGTACACGATGAAACAAACTGATTCGTTTGACTACTCCGTATACCTCTGCAGTTGAATGCACATCATTTGTGCTTACGTAATTGAAAAACATTTTCCACCCTAATGTTTAGTGAAAATTCAGTGAACATACATCTAAATGTATTCAAGTTCCCCTATAATCATGAGTGGACAAAAAGATGTAATTTGATACATGAGAGAAAATGTCACTTTGCAATACACATAAATGATAAACATCATCATGCTTTATTATCCCATCGAGCTGTGCTTATTTGGCGATCATAACACAGAAGTTGTCCAACTTGTCAATCGTTCAATCTCTCATATTGAATTTAAGTCAAATTACCGTTTCTGCTAATAAATCTTACTAAATGAACATTGAAATACTCGAACCGATAAAGGTTCTTCTTTCAAAAACAAAATGAAGCAATATGAACATTTACCTGAGAGAGAAATTTTTCAACGATTTGGACTCCAGTGGCTTGGACCTTCTCCTGATATCTCGATTGTTCTTTTCAAAACAGCTTTCTGGTCTACCAGATTTCATCTGACGTGAGGGGGACTGCTGTTGATGAGATTCCTGGCAAGGGTTATGTGGCTTATCTTGCTCGCCTGACAAATCATTACGTTTGGAAGGCTGTTGAATATTGGAACGCGAAACAGTGGGGACTGGCAAGCGGAATGTTGGAGAGGTCGGATGTGCTTCGTATTTGCCTCCTGTTGTCGTTGCAATGATCGGCAACTGTGCATTGTTGAGTACGGATACGCACGTATCCCAATCCGTTGCTGATTGGGTAACGGGAACAACGGTTTTGTGCAAACAACAGTGGGGTATGTGACTGGATGCATGTCTACCCATATCCGACTTTCTGGGATCGTGTTTCCTTTCGTTGTTTGCAGTAACACTAAAGAAACGTAAAAAACAACTGATTTACGGACCATTCTATAAAGAAACAGTATTAACCCTCAGAAGAAGTCAGCATATTAATACTTTTATCTACTGAGTAAATTATCCTATTGCAACATTTAAGAACAATAGGTGAAATAGCGAACAAGCTCGTTTTCGATAACTTCCGTATCGGGCTAATATATTTATATAAATCGGTAAAAGGCATATCACATTTGCATAACGTTTGACGTGTGTGTGGATTGGATTGGTAGATATAATTAGTTGTTTATGTGTGGTTTACAAACAAAAATGGATTGATGGGTGGATGGGAAAGGGACGTGTTACAAGAGGGATTAGGACCGAGTCATGGTTAACCATCACCGGTTTCGGGTACGGGGTCAACGGGTCATGGAAAGAGTCAGAGCCAGTCATGCAACTGAATTCACTCCTTGGCCATGGCAGTTGAAGTGCTTTAACGAATCGTTTTTGGGAACAAAGCGATGGGTTAAACAGACGGATGGTTACTGCCTCAGCTGTTGCTAGATGTTGTTGGTGAACAGCTTTAGATGGATAAGGAGGAACCTGGTAGATCACCTTGAAAGCGCCTTCATTCACAGTATGTCCCGTATTTGCGAGGTGTTCGACAATGGCACTTGTCATGGTTTTTCTATCTCCAGTAGACAACCAGGCTGGTTTATGTTCCTTGATTCTGCCTAATAGTTCTACCCATGTAGCTTGCCGAACATGAGCAAACAAATGAGTAGGTAATCATAGAAAAGGTAGAAATAGGCAATTTATCTTTGAGATTCATGGAAATAATCGGTCGATTGGTGAACTGAAGGCTTAAACGTGCTGCGGGAAATGTGCGTGCGAATGCTCTTTCCAAGCTCCCCTTTGTAAGGGAGTCGCATGTATAAGTCTTTCTTATTCACTGTTGTTATAGAAGGTCCCTTGGGTGTCTCAGATAGATTTTTCTGAATGAACTGTTCCGGGTAACCATTGGATATAAGTGTTAGTTTTATATTCTCCAGTTCTTGTGGTAAGCTTTCTTCTGAGCAAATATATCTTGCACGGGCTGCAACGGAACNAAATGTGCGTGCAAATGCCCTTTCCAAGCGTCGGTTGATTAGTTCACTTTTTTGCTCCCCTTTGTAAGGGAGTCGAGTGTATAAGCCTTTCTTATTCACTGTTGTTATACGAGGTCCCTTGAGTGTCTCAGATAGTTTTTTCTGAATGAACCGTTCCGGGTGACCACCGGATATAAGTGTTAGTTTTATATTCTCCAGTTCTTGTGGTAAGCTTTCTTCTGAGCAAATATATCTTGCACGGGCTGCAACGGAACGGACAAGGTTTCGTTTCCGTTTCAGTGGTACAAAGTCTTTACCGATTCATTTAACTGTGTAAGCCAGATGAAGAAGTTATCGAAAACGAGCTTGTTCGCTATTTCGTGTTTTATTATAGTTTTATGGAAAAATGCCGAATCTTCTTTAACAAAGCTAAAATGAGCTGATAAAGCAAAAGGTATATTTTTCTTTTCTTGTGACACAGCTAATTTGTCAAAATCAGAATCATCTATAGAACATTGTGCTAATAATAATCAGACCCTATACTTTTATGTATTTGATACAAAAAGTAATCATCTATTAACAACAACCATGAAGCGGGACGCAGAACATTACATTCTGCAGCGAGGAATCCAAGTTATGCATCACAGTGACGACAGTTTGTAACGGCTAACCTCTTGGTAAATCCAAGTGGACTGACAGGGAAAAGATTCTTTCAGATGGAAAACCAACGATTTGTCAATAATTCCAGCATCAGTCACGTTTATCGATTCCTACAATTTCGGCAGAATCAGCCGTCACACGTGATCAAAAAGGACAAGGAGCATCCCACAGTCCTCCACTGAGATTTCAACAAAGGTTTGTTAACTCAGTACAGTAACGCTTTCTTTGGATATCTGGAGTGTCTCTTGAAAGCCTCAATGTAGTTTCAAATTTGTTGGAAAAAAAAATCTTCCCAAGCTCTAAATTCTGAATATGGATGAAATACCTGCATAGTTCCTCTGAAGGATTTCGGCAAACTGAAACGCGTTGAATACTGGTGGTGAATCCGAAAATCATAACAAAATAATCTGTCCCGAACCGCTCTGTGCTCTGGTACGGATTAATCGAGCAGTATAAGTCATAAGAATGTCCGATTTCTGGATCCACATTTATGTGTTTGCCCAAATCTTTGTGACTTAGCAACCCATTTGATAGGTCGCCTCATCCTCTTGAAAATTGACATAAAAAGGAAGGGGATATTACTGTTGTTATAAATTATTATATCCTGTTCTCCATGAACAGCATCATTTTCACTTCGTACAATCATTAACTATGCACTTTCGTGCGCCGGTTTCGGCTGCCCATTCGGATGAACAATAAGAGAAAGACAGGAAAGTTGCATCGAAGAGAAAATGGGGAATTTCAGTGGACCAAGGCTGCACAGAAATCGAGACGATGCACGAACGCTATTGTTTACGACGTTGAGCCATAACACTGTATCTATAACTACCCTTTACAATCATCCAGTGGGCCAGTTGAGCTGAGCCTCGAAATGCTCAGCCCACCGATCAAGACGGCATTGCTGATCGTGAATCAGTGGGCCGTCGGATTTCTTAATTACCTCACTTACGTCATGGGCAGCTCAATACAAAACACCAGTTGAAATTTGGTTATAAACACCTGATTGGTTTCGATCGCAAATTGTTGAATCTTTATAGGTGGAATTTAGTGTGCCCTATTCTATTGAATTTCGCTCATTACAAAAGGCTAAAGCAAGAAAAACAAACACTACTTAGCGGAAGCAGACCAAATTGGAACGAAGATTATAGAAATAAGTTCTTGTGAGTTCACAAGTACATTGTTCATTGAGTGTGGTTGATGCTTTCTGAGAGTTGTCCACCACGGCATTCAGAACAACAGTTTGGTGGAACAATTCATTATCGAGCGTTTCATGTACACCTTTTCCCATCAAGCTTTAGCCGAAACCCGAAATGCTTTAGCCACGACCCACAGTCCTTAGCCCCGACGTACAACCTTTAGTCACACCGCTGTAGGCGAAGTCAGAACAAAAACTATTGGAATATTCTGAGGTCAACGAACGTTGAAAATAACTATATTTTACAAATTTTGATATTGCAAAGTCTGAATAACAAAAGGGGAAGGTGTGGCGATCGTATGCTGCGCAGTTGACTGTAGTCAACGACATAAAATGCCGCGCCACATAGTGATTGGAGTAGGTTTAGACGATGTGCAATCACGCACAAGATGTGAACCATATAAATCAACCCAACGACGAAACCGACTTACCCGTGACAAACTACTACCTCTGATGCTATCCGTCTCTATTACATGATCTGTTTTCATGCATTTTCCATATGATTCGAACACGGTTTCATAATAATTTGATTACTTTTCGCTTCTTGAAATAACAACGATAAATGTATATCGGATGCATTGCGAAGGTTGAATTCTATTCAGTTGTCTAGTAGGACTGTGTGAGGTGAAAAGATAAAACGAGTGACCATCATAATTAAAAGAAACAACCAACTGTTTCTTTCGCTCACCCGAGCATTTTGTCATTAACTGATTCCTGAGGTTTTTGACTGTTGCCGGGACGCCTCCAACTCAAAGAATGAAGAAACGACAGTCGCGAATGAGGATTATTTGTATATCTGGGAATGCATTTTACGGATTGGATTTCGGTAGAATGCTTTAACCTTGTGTGACGTAATGGGGCGGAAAAATACCAAAGCATTCGCCGGGGAATTAACGAAGCACTTTCTGTTTGTGCCTGTTCTACTACACCTTCTGTTAGCTGAATTGACTGGACCTCAGCTATTGGCTCGGACTCGTGCAACGCAGTCGAGATCTGTTGTGTTAAGCACAGATTAGATGAAACACGGTCCAATGTAGACTGGTTGGTTTGAACCAAGCACATTGCATACGATTTGTGAATGTGAGATTGGTCCTTATATACTGTTTCAGAAGGGGTGAAATTCAGTGGATCAGAGTATCTGGTTTCTTTATGTTCAAAACTATTTTCTGGCGAAATTCTAGG